GCGCGGCACATGTCCTGCGTGTGAGACGCACGCGAAGTGCGTGAGCGCGCAACAGCCCTGCCCGCTAGTGCTAAAGCAAACACGGGCACCTGCCCACGCCTGCTGGGCGGCAGCGGTGGACCGCGGGGCGGCCCCGGCCGAGCCCACCGTTCTCCGCGACGCCTCCCGCCCACGCTCGAAGCCGTCCATGAGTCCGTGGCTGTTAGCCTGACCATTATTTGTCCTGGTGGGAATTTCCATTTCGTTCTTTGTTTTTGCTAATATTTGACTTTAAGATGCTCGTTATTTTTAGACCTGTTGAAATGGAAAGCTACTTCTTGACAAAAAATGTGCCTGCAAAGGAAGAGCAGCAGGCAAAAGACACCTTGACCACTCAGGGAAAGTTCTCCAAACAGCCGTTATCCCCAAAACGTCTCTGACAGCCTGACCGAGGGGACAAACAGCCGGACAGATACAACCCTGGAGCGCGGTGGAGGAAAACGCTGGGCCTGGAAGGGCCACTCTGGCCGAGGCCAGTGAGCTCTGGCTGATTTGGGGAGACAGTGCCCGGGGCCGGCTCCCTAGAAATCATCTTCAACATCAGCTTCTGGCCTGCCGGAACTGAGACTCATCCCAGGATGCTCAGCTGAGCCAGCGGGGCTCCCCCAAGCGCTCCTGCCTCTCCAGGGCCCCCCGCACGCAAAGGGCGGTCAGGGAGCGGCCAGGACCAAAGCCTCACCCGAGGGCGGGGGCACTCAGCACGGAAAGCCCACGGGACCCAAGACGGGACCTGCTGCGGAGCGTGCGGCTCCGCCGGCCTCTGGGGGGCAGAGCAGGGTGGCGGTGCGTACCGGAGAGAAGCCGCGTGGGCGGGGCTGGCTTTGCCCTGGAGGGTCAGGGTGAGCTTGGAGAGCTGGTCCACAGCTCCTTCCCGCCGCACAGAGTGGGGGGCTCCTCCGGACACCCCTGCAAAGCGAGCCTTGGCGCCCTCCTGAGCAGACAGGGCACCCTGGGGAGGGCCCGCCTCCCCGCCGAGGCAGCTCCG